GTTTAGATAAGTTAATAAAGCCGTCAAGATTCTTATAAATTTTATTTCATGTTACATTGTAAAGGAAAACCTATAGAGTGCTTAAGGCGCTACTTAGTACATTCCATTCAATAAACAGCTGATTTAACGCAAAAGAAACAAATGGCCATCAAATATCCTGTTAATAGTAATTAATTAAAAGAGCACCTTAATTTATTATTTAAAACAAAGGGAAGAGATTGGCTCAATTTCTAGACTAGAAACGTAATTATGTAAGTCACGATCGAGCTCAAAAGCCATTGTCAGCGAACCGAAAGATTTGAATATGAAATATCGTGGAAACGCTCTTCAATGGAACCGTTCCCGGTTTTATTTCCACTCGAATTCCGAGAACTCTTTTGTTTCAACCCGTTTATTACTCTATAGATGTATAATATAACATTTCGGCTGCTTAAAACAGAATCATTAAATTTATTGCAACTTTATATGACCAACATACTCGATAGATTATGTTGATTAAAAAAAGAGTAAAGACCTTTTTGATAATTATTTTTATCAAAAAGGTAGATTATAAAAAACTTAATAAGTAGCCTATGTGTTCGTTCAGATCTATGTTCTATATGTGTGCAAAATCCGTTGAGCCGTTCCAGAAATATCTTTAAACAAACATCCATCCATCCATACATTTCAACTTTCACATTTATAATATGACTGAGACAGTAAGAAGTAAGAATAAACAATATAATTTTAATCTATATTAATATTTTTGGATAATTATGTACTACAAATATAATCAAACTCTGAACCATCCAAGTATAAATAAAACGAAAAAATCTAAATACGAAATGCAACGAACACATCGTTGCGTGACACGAATGAACAAAAAACATAGTGATAATTTGTTATCAAAAAGGGGAGCTTCATATGTGAGTAACGTTCATTCTATTCCCCTATGCAAGACTAATGGATACGCAGGCCATTAAACACGATGTACTTATGAATAATTTAGAATGTACCTACACAGGATACCCAGTGTTTTAAGACGAAAATGAAGATTTTTCCTTTGAATCATTAGCACGTAAACGATCACGAACCATCGAACTAAACTAAATTTTTTTTTGATACAAGCTTATTTAAATTACAACCGTATGATGGAATATTTTTGTATTATATTTTTACTTACATATTTACGATAAATTGCTAAACTTATGAAGGTCTTATGGCTATACAAATGAAGATCGATATTTTGAACATCCCTTGCACTCTAATATTGCTTGTTTTAACTATAAAACTAAGCAAGATTAATATTATATAAGATTATTTTATCTTAAATTTTAATATTTACTCACTTGAATTACTATAAAGGTATATATTAACCTTGGCAGTAAATATAATTCGATACAAATATGTATTCGTCAATCAACACTAAGCAACTTTCAATACAGCTTGATTATAGATTTATCAAAACTAGTTCATAGCTCAGTTCCTTATCTCATACATTTAATATTTGGAGCATTTAATTTTAGGTTAGGCGTATAATTCACTGTATTGTTACAATCTTCGACAAATGCAATTGATAGAGTGGACATAAAACGCTGATTGCTTTTCTTGGGACAGTTCTATTTTGACTGTTTCATTTTGATATTCATTAACTTTAAGATAGTTATATCAGAAATATAACATACTAATTTTATCAAACACATCGTATTTTAGTCTGTTTAAAACATAATTGCGAAGCGTAAGTCCTACTTTGTTATTTAAAGTTAAAATAATAATATGCAACAAGATTGCGCAAGCGCATGTACATATTGGTCGTCGGCCATGAGGGGAGGCGGTAGATCAATGAGTGATCTCTCGGTCCCGTCTCTCCCGTGCGACATTAAACAGAATCAATTTCATCCCATTTCCTGAGCCCGGCCCCGCTCTCTGCGACCCACTCAATGGATCATTGGATTTAATAAAACAACACACTTGGAGGTCGAATAGACTCGCATGCGGGCTACGTACTTCGAGAATTATTCCTACAGATTATTAAATAAAAATTTGTTTAACAGCCGATATTTAAAACTCTATACATATTTATACTCTATTTACTTTATATAATCATAGGATGTTGCTATTATTATGCATAATATTCCATGCAGTAAGTTCTGTAATTATAAAACGACTCGTAATGAATAATTCCTAACAATTAATGCGCAATATCACGAGATTTGCGTACGATGGCGTAACACCGCCATTCTTGTACAGTCTACCAAAAAGTTAACACTAAATTTACCAGACCAGCGAATGAGGTAGCTTTCTCACATGTCACAAATTGACGCACGATGGAAGGTGAGATGTAAACGAGAGTGTATGTGAGCTGTCCTTAATGTGAGTTTCCACTTATAATACAAAATATATATATATATTGCCTTCTCAGTCATTCTCTATGAAAAAAGACCGCAAATGTTTGATATATGTTTTGATTTTGGAAACTATTACAATTGTCATGTTATTGTGTACGCATAGTACATATAGTATTGGATACTTTGTAAGTAGTAACCTAACTTGATACAGTTAAGTTATTCGAAATCATATCATTAGGCGTATCACTTAAAATTCCACTACTTTCTAATTTTACCAAAAATTTATAATTAGGTAATTTATTTTTATGACTTCCAGCAATTTGACATTAATTTTATGAATTAAGTTATATATTTAAAGTCATTTTGCATAAAATAAAACTTAACTAGAAGTTAATTCAATCAAGTAACTGCTGAACTTTGTTCTCACAGGTGGCAAGTCTATATCGAGATATGGTCAACGTTTGTTAAGAGAATTAGGTTTATTAGCATTTATTTTTGATGTGTACATCATTGACAATTGGTAACTATAGGCCTCGACAAAATTGTCATCAAGGACCACACAGTTTGACTACCCGAGAACTTAAACATTTTTACGTAAAAGTATTTGTCTCCAGCTTCTTTTTGCTATCATAAAAAATGACAGTTACTAACTACTTAGTATCTTTTATGATGAAAAAGTCAATAAAATTTCTGAAGGCGGGGAATAAAAAGTAGCAAACATTCCCAAGAATCCAGAATAGGTCACTTGAATACTGATTCTGACTTCGACAGATGACACTTTACCATCAAACGAGAGAATGAATAAAGTACTATGGCTCCTATGTAGATTATCGTTAACTACAATTTTGCAATTTGTGCATTTTTTATAAATTAACTTGATAACTAATTCCTATGTAAATTTAAGTAACGTCAGGAAGAAGTACTGTAGATTTTATTTGTCTATTGTATGGTCAAGTTTGAGGCGTATAATCGTATTAATGTTTAAAGTTTTGTTCTGCAAAATTTGTATTTTTAACAAACGATAGTTTACTAAGAGCTGTCGTAATACTAAATTAGCCCGGATTATATCCAAGGACTTAGTTTCTACATTTAAATCTCTAAATTGGAAGAAAATGACGAGATAACTGTGGATAATCATCACGGTAACAAGTCTGTCCCATCGCACGTTAACGCTCGTCTCAAGTAGCGACTTCCTCCAGTTTGAAGTGCTCTTGATTCTTGTGAAAAAAGAAAGTGCATTCGAGTATCAAATCAAGACAGAAAGATTACAAGTAGGTTGTAAAGTCTACGGGATTTTATAAGGTTTTTTTTAAACTAAATCATTAAAACACAATCTAACATTTCAGAACATATAATTTGTGTTATAAATTAAATAAACCTTAAACGTTCCTTCCTATTAAGTAGGATGCGTATTGAATAATTTTTACTATCTTCCTTACAACAGATAACTGACCGACGCATCTTTTTGTACCATATCAACGTAAATTAGAAACTCTATTGAAGTCAATTAATGCCTTCCTGGTTTTTTGTGCCAAGTTTTAATCAAGGATATATTGGTTAATGAAACTTTTATATAAAAAAATGCACTAAATACGAAACACTTAATTATATTGTCAAAGGTATCAAACTTTAACTAAACTCTATAATAAATTTGCATATAAAGTTATTTAAATTATAAACTCCCATACTCTTAAGGCGATTGTTTTGTAAAAATTAAAAAAGTTAAATTAGTGAAACGCGCAAATTAAAATATTAAAAAATAAAAAAAAACATACTTTTGATTCTTGCTTCGTGCCATTCTTGATAAATTTCTCGATTACAAAAAAAGTATAACACAATGTTAAATAATTGATAAAATCCCACAGATCACAAACACTCGATTTATGTATAAGTTCGAAAATATAAAAATTTGGCGGCAATCGGTCACATGAGCATGTTTGACGCGACGTTCGTATCAACACTCTCCGAGATCTCGACTCAATCGTGTGCGGTGTGTATGCGCCCTACTTCGACCTCACTAATAGTTTAGGCCAGACAGAGACCATATACTAATAAATCAATCTGTCAGAGCGAGATAAAGAAAGCCTATGGTATTATTTCACAATATATAACTATAAGTGTTTAGAACCTCTTCATAGACATTTGATATACATGATAATTAATACGAGTTTGTGTTTTAAGCCATTACTTAATGAATGAATAGATGCGCAAGAGTTGTTCCAGGCAGCGCCATCTATCCGTAGACGCTTGTACTTGCATGCTCGTACAAGCGATTTTTATTTCACACTTTTATAATCATGTTTATAATCAATAGATGGCAGCACTAGTGTAGTGATTTTTTAATAGATCACAGATTTTATTAATGAAACAAGACTATTTTCTGTTATAGTAATTAAGCCTAAGCATTAACGGTTATCTTGAACTACTTAGGTTTAGTCTTGATATACCACAGACAACTACTGCTATTTTAATATAATAGTAAGTCCTTTAGGCTTACTAGGTGGGTTATTAAACTAAAATCTCTATAAAACATTTCGTCATTCTTGTCATTACCTTTGACAGAACAGAGACAATAATAGGTCCTTAACGGGGATTTTGATCTCAGAAACCTTCTTGTCGTGACAAGAAGACTATTTTACCTTAATAAAACTACTTTACCGAAGTAATACTCACATTTTAATTTTCTTGCCTTCGGCTTGCGATATAGTCGGAGGTGGCGGTAAGTCGTCCATTGGCACTTCTTCGTTGGGGGGAGAAGGCGGCGATTTATCAAACTCCGCGATGGGAGCCAGCTCTGGCATCGGTGATACCGAGTTGCTGTCCATCGCCGACAACTTTATTGGAGACACTTTGCTTGTTTTACTAAACACAGTACACTCCGGAACACTCCGGAGAACAAAATCAAAGTTCACTAATCACACACTCCGACAATCTTTAATTAAATCCAACACTGTCAAGTCGCTTTCGAGTTTCTTGGTGATACAGCGAACTGTAAGTTTATACTTGCCAACTTCGCTGATTAAGAAACTTCTGGACCTGGAAACGATTAAACTCTTACTATTTAACCATTAACGCTAAGTGCACGTTCTAACTTTTATCGTTTATTTAATACATATATTAATGATGATTTCGATAATTGAAATATAAACTAACTTTCTCTACTAATTAAGAAAATTTATTCGTTACAACGTCAATTCGAATTGCATACATCCTTTAGTATATTGTATCCTTCAAAGGAGGCAGGAATAAATTTTATATTTACTTATTATTCGTAAAATCACTAGTGTGAATATTCCCATTCTTATTTCAATATTCGTAGGAAACACAAACATAATTCTTTTCATTAGCACCCATTTTCATTATGCAATTATTTTTAACTACCGGGGTTTAGATATATGCCACTTGCGCAGAACACATTCGACTGACGCTTAGAAAAGATTGACTAAAGTTAATTATGCCTTTGTAGTTGCAATCAAGCTTTGAAAGTTGTAGGAATAAATATTAACTTTAGAAGAAAGAGGTTTTTATTAATCTATCGTTATCATATTATGTACTCCAAAATTAGTTTAACTTTGACGTAAACAGTAATCAGATACGCAACATATTTATAAAACATTAATACTAGCTATAGCCCGCGACTCGGTCCGCGTGGAATTAAAAAAGCCTGGGTGTTCCTTCAAACTATGTTCTACATCCATGCCAAATTTCAGCGAAATCCATACAGCCGTTCTGGCGATACCTTTAAATAAATATCCATCCAAACATTCGCATTTATAATATTAGTAACATTATAGGTTATGTTATAAAATTAATTCACGTAGATAAGAAATGTAAGAGTCCTTAAAATTTTAATCTATTCCGTAGCAAAAACAAACATAATTAACCTAATTACGAACACAATGCAATTTTATAATTGGCCAATTAAGAAAACGCGACCCTATTTTATAATGAGTTGTTTTCAGAAAATGCCTAATTATATCATATTTATAATTTTACTTATGTCTTTCATATAGTCGTCAGTCTATAGTCAAAGCTAAGTAACTTATGCAAGTTAGTTGTGTTCAATAAATCTAACGACGCATTATTCAATAGGATGTATCAATAACTAGCGGTCGCCCGTGACTCCCTCCGAGCGAACATTAAAAAAAAATAGCAGCTTATATGTTCTTTAAGACTATGTTCTATAGTTCAGCCGTTCTGGAGATACATTCAAACAAACAACTATCCAACCATGAAAACAGTTATATTTATAAGTATTCGTTTATTTGTCATATTTTTAATATAGTACATTTCATATCCAAAATATAAAAATATACAAAACATATTATATTAAAAATAGAACACCACCGGCTGCGGAATCCCATGACTCAAACAACCAGTGGTCAGGGCTTCAGAGACAGGAACCTTCTCACGATGCGCGCGGTTTCTAGGATAACTGCCTTTTGTATATTCCCTTTAATCCAACTGTTAAGTTTCAGTTAAGTTAACTGTTTAGTAAGAGTTATTTGGTTGTGTGTTTGTATAAACATTTTCTAAAAATCTTTCTCAAATTGACCCATCAAACGAAAAAAAATTGATATAATAAGAAATCTTATAACAGATATAACTATTTTCCTCGCATCGAAATACAAAATAACAGTTCTCCTTTAATTTGAATAGACAAGATACTTGCATTATGTTAATAATATACGTATGTTCCTAATACAAATTCCATACGTTGTTACTCAGCATCCCTCGAGCATTGAAAATAACATTCCCAATTCCCCTCTGTATACCTTTTGCAAGTGAATACAAACAACGCAGACGAGACGGCAGCGTTGCCATCTATTTCTTTGTTTTATTAAAAAACAAATTGAATTATATGTAGCAGCGAACTTATATAAGTTGAATGAAAACGCAACTTTTGAATTCCTATTTATTTTTATGTTTTTAATAGATGTTTTCCGCGACACCGTTCGCGCGGAATTAAAAAACCTTAATTTGTACCCTATGTGGTCTTTCCGACTGTGTGACTACATCTCTGCCAAATGTTATCAAGATCTACGATACGTTGTTACAAAAATCCATTCAAACTTACGCATTTATAATATTAGTAGGATTTTACTATACTTATGTATATTTACCCATAATACCATCACGGCTATTACCAGGTTAACTTATCTGAGAGGCTAATTGACTTTTTTGTCCTTACTGAAGTTAATTTTAAAGTTTCAACTTAAACCATATAAGTGATCAGCTTTTGAAGTGTTGCTAAGTTTCGTTAAAATTTAAGTATATCAAAAATGTTAGTAATTACAATAATACCTTACTTTTTATTATAAAAGTCAAAATTTGGATAAGCATTTAACTACAAAACGGCTGAACAGATTTAGATGACATTTGAAATAAGAATAGATTGAAATTGGAATAGAGCATAGGTAGTCTAAGAAGGGATAGCTAATAATAATTATTATACAAACATTACATTAAGTTATTTAAAGTGTTTGCGGCAAAGAGAGTCGAAATGCATACACAAATTGGATATATTTAGCTTTATATTTAGCTCCGTGCAGTAAGAGCACTTAGTTACGGCAAATGAAAGTAAAAAGACGCAAGGAAAGTTCGTTACGCTGAAATTGCTACAAATTACGTATTCACGAGAGTCAAGCTAACATTAACACGAGTAAGATCATGAACAGGTTTAGTATATAGCCATTAAAATGAACTGATTACGTCACTTTAGTTTGTTTATTTAATTATTATGCAATTGTGTTCTGAAAAAAAAAATCACACGTCGTTGGTGACAGATTAATTTAAGGGGAGGTTTTGTCTAACGACTCAAGTCGTTTTTCTTATCTTATGGTATTAAAACTTTGCAGAATAATACAAATTCTTTAAATATCAACTTAATGGCTTCTAGTATATAAAAGCATACAAACCAACATTAGCTTCAATTTAAAATAAATGTTTCGTAGTTACTTGATGCTTAACAATCTTCCCGTAAAATACAAAATCTAGTTCAAGAGGCCATCACGCAGCCCGAATAGTAAAAGCTTTGTTAAAACGGAAACAAAATGGAAATCATGAAATAGCAAGGGAAAATACAATGGAGAGCAAACAAGTAGTTGGTTGAAGCTCTAATCTAACCTACAGGCTTGTTCTAAATTTGAAAATAGCACTGAACATAAATGAAAAAGACGAAAGTCACTATAGTCGAATTCAATGAAAATGAGGAATTTGTACATATCACTGGTTGAGAAGTATCATTTATTGTGTTTTCTTACTTTTTATAATACTAATATTATCAATGTGGTTGTTTAGATGATGTTTGTTGAAAGGTATCTCCAAAACTGCTCAATCTCGATAAAATTTGGCATACATATGGAACATAGTCTGGAAGAAACATAGGCTACTTATTAAGTTTTTTTTTAATTCCGCGTGTTCAGAGTCGCGGGCGATGGCTAGTACAACATACATGTGTATCATATGAACAAAGTTATGTAGGGAGGGGGAGGGAGTGTACGAGATGAGAGGAGCGGACGTGTCGCGTCCCGACACTCCGCCTGCTTTGTCTATACTCATTTAATTTCCTTTCCTCATGTCAGTGTAGAGAACTAACTCTATTACAACTTATAATAAAACTAGCTGTCGCCCACGACTCCGAACACGCGGAATAAAAAAAAACTTAATAAGTAGCCTATGTTTCTTCCAGACTATGTGAATTTGCGCTTATTTCCATCAAGTTTCGTTGAACCTTACCGGAGTAACCTTCTATCAAAAATGCAGCCATCCATCTAAACAGTCGCATTTATATTATTAGTATGAGTAAGACTATATGTTTTTTTTATTTAAAAAGTTACTATTTTACTACGTACAATCCTGAATTTGTGCTTTAAGAATGAAGCAAATTTATTTTACTATCAAAATCATAGAGAATACAGTAGTAATAAGTTAGTATGCATCTTTTACAATGGTCGTTTTCGCGAAACACCTGAATAGCGAGTGGACAAGTCGGGCACTGGGCAGTGGGCACTCAGACCGACCTCGGGGGCTGCAAATGAGGACACAGACTCTCCAGTTGAACGAGATAGGTCAATCTTTAACACGCATTGTCTATTATAATATACTCCAGTTAATATTGTAAGCGTCCGTTTGTAACTAAAGCAATTTAACTAAATGCAACGAATATTTTTTATAACCTAATAATATGTTACAAGCAAAATGGCCAAAATTATTTTATATTCTGAAACTTAAGTTACTTAAGTTAGTTTATTTATTTATTTAATGGTAGTCAATAACTTCAAAGGTTAAGAACGTAAGTGAAGCAAAGAGCAAAGACTTGACCTAACACAGAGTTATCGAGTTGCTACGTCCTTTGTAACAAGAGCTGTAAGAACGTACCATTGAACCGTGCCTTATTTCACCGGCATTTTACTTCAAAATGCTTCTTTATATAAAATGTGTCTTACACAAGTACGATCATAGTGTTATTGAAAAAGAAATAAATGCCTATCTTTATAACAATAAACTGACGGCAAAAATAAATATGTTATTTGATAAGTTAATACGTACGAATAAGATTAATCTATATGTACTAATATTATAATATAAAGCGAAAGAGTTTGTTTGTTTAAACGCACTAATCTCAGGAACTACTGGTCCGATTTGAAAAATACTTTTTTTGTTGGTTAGTCCATTTGTAGAGGGAGACTTTAGGCTATAGAACATTACGCTGCGACCAATTGTTTTTTTTAATTCCGCCCGGACGGAGTCGCAGGCGACAGCTAGTTATAGTAATAAAATATTGTTGCTAAATAGTACTATTATAGTCTTTGTTAAAACGGAGAAGAACTACAGTATGTAACATTTTGTAACGTCATAAGTACAATGAACTCGTCAAGTAATCAGGACATCTGTTAAAAAGATAAACATGAATGTATCTTGTTTCAGATTCTCTAATTATAGATTGCCGCAGTATGTTTACATTTGTGTATTTTATATTAATAAAACATTGCTATCGTTTTCTTTTTGTAAGAATGATTGAACTGTTATAAAGA